AGAGGGACCTGAAGAAACAAGTGTTTTAAGGATGATGGACTAAGAAGAGTAACCTGACCAGTAAACAAATGGATTAGGGGAGGGAAGGAGAGGGGAAAGGAATGTGTCTCTCAGAGTTTTGTTTGTTTTCTGGTGGCACTGGGGATTGAATCCAGATCCGTATGAAAGCTAAGCATATAGTACCACAAAGGTACACCCCCATCCCCAGAGGGTTTTTTTGTTTGTTTGTTTTTTGGTACCAAGGATTGGACCCAGGACTGCTTAACCACTGAGCCACATCCCCAGCCCCAGCCCTTTTTATTTTTGACTTTGAGACAGGGTCTTGCTAAGTTGCTTAGGGCCTCAGCAAGTTGCTGAGGCTGGTGGCCTCAAACTTGTGATCCTCCTGCCTCAGTCTCCTGAGCTGCTGGGATTACAGGCATAAGCCATCATGCCTGGCTGTTTGAAGTATGGATATTGGGGAAATCTGTTAATAATGGCATTTGTTATTTTTGCCACCCACTATTCCTGTATGTCATTTCAGTGAAATTATGTCCCATTTCCTCTGGCCAGGGGGACGGAAGGGCTGTCTTTTCTTCCTTTCTTGGTCTGTGTGCTGCTGGTGGGCAGGACATCTACCCTAGGAGTGCAAAGCTTGTCCCTGGCTAACACTAATTAGCACCTCATGTACCTCTGGATCAGTAGAGGGGAGAACATGTTTTGGGCAGATACTGGGCTAATTAATGTTTGTTTGAAAAGTTAAAGGAAGAGAGGATCTCTGTTTCCTCTTGGAGGATCAATGCAAAGCTCCCAGAAGCTGTCACATATAGCTTGAGAATGACACCGATACAGCAAAGGTGGGGCCCAAAGGTGTGTGTTCCACAGGTCTTGGTAATGTGGTGGGAACCTGAATCTAGCAGGACACGATGTTCTTACTAGCCAGGGTCTTCTTTTCTTTTCTGTTTTCTTCTTTACTTTTTGGCAGTACTGGAGATTCAGCACAGGCCTATATAAGCTAGGCAAGTGCTCCACATAGAGTTATATCCCCAGCCCTTTTAATATTTTAAATTCTGAGACAAAGTCTCAGTAAGTTGCCCAGGTTAGCCTCAGACTTGCAATCTTCCTGCTTCAGCCTTCCAAATACTTGGGATTACATATGTGCCCTGTGGTGTTTGGTAATTTTTACTTTTTGAATTCAGCTAATGCTTGGAACTAGGTGATTAATAGAACTTTTCCAAGGTTCTCCCAAAACATGTCTATATTTCACTGATCCTCCATAGGAAAAAAATTGGGAGCAAAAACCCAAAAAAGTCATAGAGGACATCAGTGAACAGCGTTGTATACACATGAAAACTGGTCCCCCAAAAACAAATTAAATAAAAACTTATTTAATTCAATTAAATCAATAATTATTGAGTATCTGTAATGGGCTGGGTACTTGTTCTGTGGAATAGACATGTCTGCAACAAAGATAGCAAGTTGATTAGAAAAAAAAAGGCTTTCATAGAGCAAAGGATATGGATAATTCCCTAAAGAGGGCAGAGCCTAAAAAAAAAAAATAACACAAAAATCTGATCAAGTAGAGATTAAAACCAAGAAAATTTCAGGTTCATTGCATGCTTGTAATCCCAGATACTAGCTGAGTGACACCCTGTCTCCAAATCAAATAAACAGGGTTAGGGGTATAATTTAGTAGTAGACACTTGCCTAGCATGCACAAGGCCTTGGGTTTGATCCTCAGTACAAAACCCATTCCCACAAAAAATCAAAACCATGAAACTTAAAACCACAATGAGATAGTTTTGATGATTAAATTAACAAGGATTATGARTGGTGATGTTATTTACTATCTGAAAATCCAGGGACATAAGCATGCTGCAAACTGCTGAGTACAAACTGGTATAACTTTTCTGAAAAATAAGTTGACAATATACTTTATTTATTTATTTGTGTGGTGCTGAGGATAAACTCAGGGCCTTGTGTATTCTAGACAAATGCTCTACCACTAAGCTACATCCCCAGCCCAGGCAGTATATAAGAAAGAACCTTAAAAATGTTTACATTCTTTGATATGCAATTCTGTTATGAATAATGTTGACCAAGATTTATATAAAACATATTCATTGTAATAGTATTTCCATAATTAGGGAAATGTTAAGTATTGGTACAGCCATTTGATGATTAGAAATTATGCAAAATCTAAGAATGAAATTGAAGATGCTTCTTTTAAAAAAATGTTTTTTCAGTTTGTAATATCTTAACAGGGTATAAAACCCAAAGTCCAAAAAGACAAAGTGAAAAGTTAGGACTCCCTCCGTCCTGTGTCACTGAGCCCCTAGCCCCTGCCTCAGAGGGAACCATTCAAAACACATGTCTATTCTTTTATCTCCCCTTTCAAATGGCAGCTGGTTTTGTATCTTGCCCCCTGCCTTAGTAATATATATCATACATAAACTTCCTCATTCTTTTTTTTATTTTTTATTTTTCAAAGAGAGAGAGAGAGAGAGAGAGAGAGAGAGAGAGAGAGAGAG